CCCGCAGCCGATCGGGGAACCGCCGGGAGCGGCGCCCCCCTGCTTTGGGGCCGTTTCTGCAGACGGAAAACTCTCCGGTGTTTGGCAAACTTGGTGCCTCCGCGCCCGTGCCAGGTTTGCACTAGGACTGTTTTGTTTTTGGCGGAACTACCGGGCAGGAAGGTTGCACAAGTCAGGGGCAGTTTTAATCGGGTGTCAAAATTCTTTTCCCCTCTCGGACCTCGTTTAGGTCTCTACATTTCTTTTCTTTTTCTTTTTTAAAGTTGCACCACAGAACTCACGCTTGCACACCACCACCCCCGCGATCACCGCGACCCGAAACACATCCAAACGAGCCCTCGGCCCGCTGGGGACGCGGCGGCTGCTGGCAGGCGAGGCGGGCGCGCGGTCACGGGAGCAGGTAAGTCCATGCATTATTGAGGCGCCGCGCCGGGTAATGTGACCGCGGCCCCGGGGGGACGGGGCGTGGGCTGCGGGGAGGACGGGCTTCCCTGAGGCTGAGATGTAACCAACTTTTGCGTACACTTTCCTGGGGACCGGAGTTCTGCTACCCCGCGGCGGAGCAGAGAATGACTGACACCTGGAGCAAGGAGGAGGAGGTCCTGGGGATCCGTTTAGTAGGGAAGGATCCTCACTCCGCCGACAGGTCCCGGGCTGCCGCTGGGCGCCCCCAGCCCCGTCTGCCGGGGTGAGAGTCCCGCATCCGTGCTTCGCGCGGTAAGGGCGCAGGGCCAGTGATCGCCGGGAGGGGACGTGGCCTGTCACACACGCCCCGGCCGGGGAGGGCGGGGCCGGAGGTGTCCGCTAGGAGAGGGTGGCGTGGTCGGCGGGCTGGGGAGCAGTTCCCAGCCGTCTGCCTGACAGGAAACGTGCAGACCTCCGGGCCGGCGCTGCTCGCGAGGGTGGGGCTCCGGAGAGGGGGCGGTGCGTGGTCCGGACTCTTGGCATCTCTTTCTGCAGCTGGTAAGGTCATTCATGTCCTACCTTTGGCCCCGGATCCGAGGCTCTGGTTGTCCAAGGCCACGTACAACCCCCCCCCTCCCCCAAAGCACGGATTTTAGGCTGTGCAACTTTTAGAAGGCACGCTGTTAAAAGAGACTTTCCTCCCAGACCCGGAAAGGGACTTGTTCTAGGGAGGGAGGAAACGTGCCTGACCCTCGGAGCCCGCGGACCGCAATTTGTTTTACATCGAACGGGAGCCCGGGGTCTAACCTAAGGGCGCCCCATTCTGGGATTCCCGGGGTGAGCCTCCTCTTCCTCAGCCATCTGGTCGCCTGGGTCACCAGGGCCTCGCGGGTCAGTTTCCCACGCGGCTCTCGGGGGTGTCGGTGGAACGGTAGCTGCGGCCCCGAGGGCACGAGTCTGGGGGAGTCCCTGGTCTTCGGGACCCGACTGGAGCTCCCCGCCCCTTGGCCTGGCGACAGCAGCATCCATAGCTCAGTAACTTGCACGGGCCTCAGGAAGTCGGGGTGGCCCGTCCGGCTGGTTGCTGGAGGGCGCGGAGGACGCCGGCGGCGGGCGGATGGTGCTGCGGGCCAGGCGGGAGCTGGAGGAATGCGAAGCTCGTGGGGGCTTCAGCCTCCGGAGTTCCCGGTGGCGGCGAGGGCCCGGGCTTACGCAGTCATTCCCCTTATTTATGGGCCCGATGAGACAGCTCTTTAACTTCCCTTTGGGTGTTTACATACAATTTATTGCCCTGTAAACAGTATTAATCACTGTAGTATTCACCTTCCCTTGGAGCACTTCCGAGAGTGAATGGCAGTTCTTGGCGCTGGGTGGTGTCTTTTACTATGTATCAAGCCCAGTGGCAAACTCCTTCCCCCTGGGCTTCCCTTCACAGTAACTCTAGCTAGGGTTTTGGTCGCCAGGGTAAATGAATGAATAGTTTCTGCCCAAGGATCAGCATCACATTTCCATCAAAACTGTACATTGTTGAACATCTTTATATTCTTACATTGTGTAATTCCCATATTATTTTGAAATTAAAACTTTCCCTTGAAGGCCATCCCCTATCCTTTCACCCCAGGCTGGTTTATTGACTGACACACACTCATGGCTTCAGGTCCATAGGACAGCCAGACATGTTCCCAGGAAAATGTTGGTGAACCTCGAGTTGAGTGTATTGGTTTCAGTGAGAAGATCTGGCTAACCTTTGCGAACATCTTTATCAGGGCACAGAAACATAGGGCAATGGTAACAATAAATTACATATAAATAACAATAAATGTTAACAATAACTGTAAAGGGCTTAAAACTTCTAAAGCAATATCCCATTCATTTCTTCTATTTCTCAACTAGCTGTGTGTGGAAGATGGCCTTCCCTCCCTGTCATAGATGTGAAAATGGAGGGCCACCTTAAGGCACATTCTTAGTGATGAAACTTCCATTCTGTCTCCTGACCACCGATTATAAACCACTGCAGCATTTATCGATTTAGAAGAAGGTATCTTTTTTTGCCATGTTACTCAACCCGGAGTCCCCTGCCATTCATGGCAACAAGTGGAAGTTGGTGGCTAGACCTGTTTCTTCCTTCTTCCCATTCTTCCCTTGTCCTCTGATCTATCCCCCTTTCTTCTGTATCTTTGTAGTATGTAAGAGATTTTGATGATCAAGCAGGGAAAATTTGAGAAATTATCTTAAGGAGAGTGGCAAAATAAAATGTTACAATCAGCAAATATTTATGTGAAAAGGAATTTAAGTCCTGTGTAAAGAGTTCACTTTTTTTATGGAGTAGGATAGATCTTTGGGAAGCTTTGAAGTGAAGACCTTTGGCTAAGACCAGTTATATGGAGAGCATTAGAAATATTTCTCAAAGGGAATAGTTACTTTCTGGTTAAGAGAATTTTGTTGGGCAAACTTGATTTTCTGTAATAAAATTTTATATGCATTCCTCTGAACAAAGTTTTTGGTTTTTGAATATAATAAAATGCACTTAAGAATTCAGCAAATCTTTATAGGCATGTACCCCCAAAAGGAAATGTAACCACATAATAATACCTAAAGTCTTAACAGTAGTAGAGCAATATAAAAAAATGTAAAACTTTTTTTATACTCATAAATTTTGGCAGACTGATGACCCACAATCCACATTTTCCTCCCTACTGGAGAGTACATTGTTCCTACAACTTTAGGAATCGACCACAGTTTTCATCTGCTTCAACTCTTTAACACAAAACTCTTTTCTAAGGTAATTTTGATCTCTTTATTATTATAACACACCCTTTTTCTGACTGATAAGGATAAAAATATAACAATTTTTACATATTACATATTTATATTATTATGAAATAACATGATGTTTCCTTGAATATTACATATCACAAAAATCTTCTATATATATAAAAGCCTAAGTGACCCTTATGACTGGACGACAGAACGACCAGTCTACTGGTCGCTATGATGCGCACTGACCACCAGGGGGCAAACGCTCAAAGCAGGAGCTGCCCCCTGGTGGTCATTGTGCTCCCACAGCCAACCTCCCGTGGTCCCTTCCCCCGGCCGGTCAGTCCCCATGAGCCCTTAATGCCACCCAGGCCGAGGGACCCCACCGGTACATGAATTCGTGCACCGGGACTCTAGTAATATATAAAATAATAGTATATAATATACAAAATGAAATATATTATAAAATAACAATACCATATGATGCATCCTTGAGTTAAGAATTGAGATGTCTAATCCTAGCTAGCAGTAAACTCTGGTTCTGATAAATGTTGTAATACTAGTATGTGAATTATCATCCATTTTTCACAGATTAATATTTGGAAGTGTTGCCTGTTATATTCCTAATGAAATGATTAATTTATTTAATTTGCATTTGGGGTCTTCTTAAGGGACTCTGGGGTCTTCTTAAGGGACTCTTAAGATAGAGCCAAGTGGCTGATTGAATTCTGAATCTATCTGGGTGTTTGGGGGCAGTGTGTTACGGAAGGTATTAGGGCAATGTACTAGTCTAATATTCTTAAAGAAAAGGTGGCATTGTAGGACAGAATCTTTAGTTCTTTAAATTCTAAAGATGCTTATGACAAATTAATTACTAAAAATTAAAATTATTTCTATTGAGTGATATCTGTACCCAGCAGAATTAATGTGATGTACCTTCTAAAATGACATAACATATAACTATTCAGATTTATATCTAATTGAAAGCATTCCTGAGATCAGACCTGAATACCCAACTGCTTTTTGTTATTTCCACATATATATTTCAGAGGCACCTCAAACTCAGCAAATCCAAACTACTTTCATTATTTCTTCCTGCAGAGGCTTATCCTCCAGAACTCCCCAGCTCAGTGAATGACTCGCCCTCTACTCAATTGCGCAAGCCAAATTGGGCAGTCATTTTGTCCCTTAGTATCCTGAGCCTCTCATATCCAACCAGTTCCCAAATCCTATGCACCTTCTTTATTTAGTATTTAAACATCCCGCATATCCACCCATTTTCTTTCCATCTTCCCTGGTTTAGGCCACAGTCATTTTCTGTCTGTAATATTACACTAGAAAGAATATAAGACTAAACACTCATGTATTCTTTAACTACATTCCCCACTTGTCACTTTCCAATATTTCATATGTCTCTCTCTGTGTATTCATGTGTATACTAGTATTTGTGTACATTTATACATAGACATATAGATAGACATATATAGACAGATATATGCTGTCCTTCTTGAACTTAAGTTGAAGATATTATCATACTTCATTGCAAACTATTTCATCATGTGTCTTCTACAATCAGACATTTCCTTGCATAAGGGCACAACCATTAACCAATATTAAAGAAGTTTAACACTGATACAATAATATTGTCTAATGCAGCGGTTCTCAACCTGTGGGTCGCGACCCCTTTGGGGGTCGAATGACCCTTTCACAGGGGTTGCCTAAGACCATCAGAAAACACATATTGAATATATAATTACATATTGTTTTTGTGATTAATCATTATGCTTTAATTATGTTCAATTTGTAACAATGAAAATACATCCTACATATTACGATTCATAACAGTAGCAAAATTACAGTTATGAAGTAGCAACGAAAATAATTTTATGGTTGGGGGTCACCACAACATGAGGAACTGTATTAAAGGGTCGCGGCATTAGGAAGGTTGAGAACCACTGGTCTAATATATCGCCCAAATTCAGATTTTTCCAAATTATCCCAAATTGTGTATTTTGAAAAATTATGAATTCAATCAAGGATTACCTAATTAAATTCTTTTCATGTTTTGAAAACTTGGCTTAAATGTCACTTCTTCAAGGAAGGCTTCTCTAATTGCCCAGGGCAGGTTAGATTCCTCTGCTCTATGATGATGTTACTCTGTGCTTCTCCTTTGTATGTTTGTAGCATATCAGAATAATTCATTATATAATTAATTGCTTAGTATCTATAAACTTCATGATGGCAGAGGCTGTGCCTCTTTGATAGTCATATCCCCATTCCCAGATCAGTGCCTTATACATAGCAGGCACTGAATAAATATTTCCCGAATAAATGATGATGATATATAACTGTATATGACTATATGTATTACATGTGTATATACCTATTTTTTTTCAAGTCCATACTTTCCCTTTTCTCTTTAGGTATTGATGTCTTAAAAAAAAAAAAAGAGGATTTAGTAAAGTGTTTGGATTTTACTGAAACTCAGCAAAGATGGCCAAGTATGGAGAACATGAGGCCAGGCCTGATGACGGGCAGAACGAGTTCAGTGACATCATTAAGTCCCGATCTGGTAAGTAATGGGAGCCTAAGAAAATGCCAGGTTTATATGCATAAACTACTTAGAAGACATAGGGTGTTTTTTTTTTTAATTTTTTTTTTGGCTTGTGTTGCACTGTTCTTGTGAGACAAATTTCTTTTGAGAAATATAATTCTGACAAAGGAGTATTATATTATAAAAGGTAACATAGTGTCTCTGACTGTCCTATTTGAATTTCCCCTCAGCCCAGTTTGATCTCATCCTGTGCTGACTGGCATTGTTTAGTTACACTGGGACCAGTAGTTGAATGCTGTGCATTTATCAGACTAACCCCTTTCAACACAAAAATATAGCTGAGCATGTTTTCCCTTTTCAGCCTATTTTATGAAGTTGAAAGGATTATATATGCTTAAAGTAGGAGGTGCCGTTGTTTCTGGCAGGATGGATCTTCTGTAGTTTTGCTTCGATCACATATGTCCTTACCCCAATTCCTTTTGGTGGCCAGGGCTAGGCCTACAGGTTTCTTACCTCTGCTTCCATCTTTGAAACGTCTTATGAACCTTCTCAAGGTACAGTTTTCACCTAGGTAATCTAATAACCGGACTAAGACAGATTAATGGTTTTCATCTGAACATTTAAATTGGGGACCTCAGATACTGCTCTACACCCCCAGTCTTTTTTTGTAACCAAGTGCTTTTCCGCTGTCGCTGTTCAAATGAATCAACTGGGAAGGCTTTTTTTTTTTTTAATGCAGATGCACTGGCTCCTCCCCATACCTATTGAATAATAAATTCTATATTTTAAAAAGGCTTCAAATATGATTTTGAGACAGGCTCAAGGGGAGATATTTTTGAGTAGGCTGGGCTTGTTTGAGCTTTGAAAATTACACAGAACTCTACCCTGGGTGTGAACACTATACTTAAGTAACCTTGAGAGTTAGGCTCAGGTATAAAATTATAACCAGTGTCACTTTAAGATAAAAAAAAGGAATATACAGCCTGTTTTGCTCCATGTATCATGTTTATATTATCTTAGGAGCTTATTTCTCAGGACATGAAACTGCAGAAATATGCACTGAAAATCAGCTCTAAATTAATAGACATACACACTTAAGATACACATTTCTTTCTGTGGTACTGGAACTGGTTGATTGGTAAAGATTTTGGTTATAACAGTCCTGGCTCTAAATTTGTAGTGACTACTGTGGAGCTTGAAGGATCTTTAGGTACATTAAAGCTTACTATCCTGTTTTAAACATCTGAGGGTATTTTTTTTCTCAAAAATTCTTTTTGTTTTAAATATTTTAGTAATATAAAATATTATGTAGATATAAGGGATTATTAGTATTTTCTTAAGAATATATATCCAGACTATGTAAATGTAACACAGAGGAAAGTGAAAGTGAGACAATTTAACATATCCATGCTGGTCATGTTCTATAAATTGTGAGGAGATATATTCTTAAATAGTTGTCTGAGTCAACCTCTATTACAGTAAGACCTTTGATATTTATAACTATGTGCTTTAACCATTCCCATAAAAAGTAATTGAATAAGTTTCGAAATGCTAAGCATATATGATGAGTGCACATAGCTTCCAAATTGTTTTTTAAATTAAAAATTACCATTTAGAAAGACTTACAATTCTCATACACTGTTGGGGGACAGTTGGGCAGAAATCATCACATGTTTTTAACATGTGTATACCAATTAGCCTATTAACTCTATTTTTAGAGTTATTTCCTAAAATACACAGAAATGCACAAGCAAGAAGTTGATCACAACATTTTTTATAAAAGGAAAAAAATTGGAAACACCATAAAAATACAGTATTGAGGACTGGTTAAGTCATAATTTCCCAAAGTATTTTGAAAAGAGCCTAAATTCTAATTAAAAAAGGATGCCAAAGACAAATAATTTTAGGAAATAGTGGTCAGCCTACTCTGTTCATTTAGTGTAGGGCCTCTGAACTGATTGTAGAGAATCTCAGTGGAGTTCATTATATTAGGAATATTCATAAAGCAGAAGAATATACATTCATAATATGTTATTGATATGTATATATCTATATATATGCATAGAAATGTGTTCTTGACATTGTCAAGTAAAAATATATGCAATATGAATTCAGTTAGGTGAAAATTATTTTTTAAAAACAATTTAGCAGATTATACACTACAATGTTAATAGTGTTAACCTTGGCATTTTGGGATTATTATTTTTCTCTCTTTGCTCGTATGTATTTTCTAAAGTTCTTCAATGAGCCTGTATTACTTAGTTCTTATTTTTAAAGGCTCTCAAATTGCTTAGAGTGTTTCAATGCCAAGGCTCTGACTGTTACATTTTTTTGCTTGGTGGCACCTACTTCAAAACACATTGAAAAGTTAGCTGTTGCATAGCTGAGATATGAATCACATTCTTTTGGCTGTATTATGTTGCAAGAGCCAGTAGATAAATTTGGATTTGAATGGGCCTGTTAGTCCCAATTCTGCTTTCTGAAAGGCACAGTTTTGATTCTTTTAAGGTAAATATTAGCATACAGTGATAATGTCTTTTGGTATACCAAAATATACATATTGAATAGGTATTTTTAGTTCAGATTCATTCAAAGGAATCATCCACATATAATGCATTTTTTTTTAAAAAAAGATCCTTCTTGGACACGTTCTATGCTTAAGTTGTTGCTTTCTCATTGTTTTAAAAGGATGTTTTCCGATGGAAGAATTTTAAATCTAATCTGCTTCTCTAGATTTCTTCCTTTTGGAGATTGGATATGGGGGAGGGAGAAAAGATTAGGGTGGGAAAAACTAAAGTTGAGAGTAAATTGATTAATTTAATCTCTTAGTTTATCAAGATTCTTCCATTCTCACTCCTTCTCAAATACTTGAATTTGGAAAGCTAAAAGCCTGGTGTAACAAAAATATTTGTGCATTTTACATCAAGTTATTGGGATTATTTATATTGCCCTCATTCATTATTATTTGGCTTTAAGATGTGTATGAGGTTTTACATTTTTTATGTTATTTCCACCTTCTAAACAGACATATGAAATTATCAAGGGTAGATTATGAAAATGTGTATACCAATTAGCCCATTAACTCTATATGGGGATATATGACCCCATATATTTCTTTATGGTTGTACCACATTTACCTTAGATTTGAATGAACGTTAGAAAAGAACTTGAAATAATATGACCTTTAATTATTAAGAGCTTGAGGTGGGGTAAACGGAGACCTTTCTTTTCCTAACTTAAACACACCTATGTCGTTTGTCATCAGTAACTGCATCTTTCACAGCCTGCATTAGTGGGCTTCAGAAAGCTTACCAAATTAGTAAATATTGTGAGAGAGTAGGCCAAGATATAGAGTTGTTTGTTTGTTTTTAGTGGAAACATATAGCCAATGGAGTCTGTGATGTGTACATTTCTGTTTGGAACATTTTAAACATGAAATAATACAATGGTTTGGGATGCATGTCAAGTCAAAGAATATGCTCATTGCTACTTCATCCTATCAATAGCTAACACATGTTAAAGCTGGTAATATAGAACAAGGCATCCTTTTCTGATGTTCTCAGTTCTGTTGTGGTTAAGTTTTAAATGAGAGCCTCCTAACCAGGGTAGCGCTCAGGGCTAAAGAGAGTGTGTCAGCTGGCTACCTGTGGGGATGTTGACAATCTGGGGATTCGAATCATAGACGCTCAGATGGGAAGGGGCCATTTATTAAATGAGTTAGTCAGGTAAGCGCCACATTGTTGCATGATTCAATGTGTTCTTTAAGTACCTTGGGTAGGAAGCCTGCGTATAACAATTTTACCCTTTCTTCTTCCACCTTTTGGGATCTAATTGCTGAGGACCTAATTGCTGAGAGAATTTTAGAGGCCATATAACTCAGCCATGCCTGCAAGGTGGTTACCCAGCCTCTGCTTGCACACTTCCAATGATGGTATCTCATTGGTGATGATGATGAGGATGATAATCCTAGCAATTTACATTTATTGAACACACACTGTGTGCAGATGTGGTATCAAGAGTTTCATCCTCACAACTACTGTTTTACAGATGACAAATGTGAGCCACACAGAAGTAATTGACCGTACTGGCCTTCCTTCTAGTTCTCCAAAGGCCCAGTTGTGCCGATCTCAGGGCCTTTGCACATCCCTTTTACACCTGTCTTTGTCTGATGGGCTCCTTGCTATCATTTAGATTTAGATGTAAATGCCATGTTTGAGAGATCTTCCTAGATAGATCTTTAGAAAGTAGGTCTTCCTTGCCCAGCTAGAATGGCTCAGTTGGTTGAGTGTCGCTCTGTGCACTGAATGGCTGCTGGTTTGATTCCCGGTCAGGGCACATACTTGGGTTGAGGGTTTGATCCCCAGTCAGGGAATGTAAGGAAGGCAGTCAATCCATATTTCTCTCTCACATTGATGTTTTTCTCTCTCTCTCTTACTCTTTCTAAAGCATGTCCTCTGGTGAGGATTAAAAAGAAAAAGAAAGTAGCTCTCCTGGTCACTCTTGTCTGCATCAGTATATTTAAATTTTCTCTATGTTCTTATCTCTATCTGGCACTCTTCTTGTTTTGTGTATTTATTAATGTACTTTCCACTAGAATTTAATTCCAAAGGTACAGAGACCAAACTGCTAGCTCATAGTAGGTGAGCAATGAATGTTTATTCAATGAAAAAAGGCTTACAAAGCTAGAAAGTGCCAGATCTGGGGTTAGAACTCAGGAGATCTGACTGCAGAAACCCTGCATTTGACCTCCACATAGTGCTGAGTCTTCTAGTTTACAAGGTCGTTTATTTTGTTGCTTCTGGAATTCTTCTTCATTGTGAGCCTAAATCTATTGCTTACAACATTCTCACAGTATGAGCTGGGTTTATACGTGCCTCTGCCTCTTCCTTTATGGTGACCAAGGTTGGGACTCCAGGCTGTGAGGGAGAGCCTTCCTGGGCCCCCAGTTGTCATCGTAGTGCTGCCAAGGGAGGGCCAAATTGTAGGAGCTACGACCTGCTGCTCCCAGACCTGTCCTG